ATAAAACCAGAAATAGATCATGCAAATAATCCAGACAGATGTGCCAGTAGAAAGGGCAAAGCCATGACAAGAGTGCTTTTTCTCAGTGCTCTTATCTTTACTTGTTCAAGAGAGCCATAGAGATTCTTTAGCATGGAGGAAGATTTCAGTGTGGGGGGGGGGAGTCATTTATTAAAAACAAAGGAATTTTATGGAGCTCTCCAAGTGCATCACATCTGCAGATTTACACTGAAGGGGTCATATGCCATTGTCAGAGCCAGGTGTATTCACCTGGAATGATACTGAAAAGTGAGTTTCCAACACTGAGGTCCCCCCCACTGCAATTATAAAACTAAAATTTAAAACCTGACCGGACCAAAGAGAATGTGCACAAAGAAACCAGTTCAGAACAACTGGTGCCATTGTATCAGATGAACATAGGATGGTGTTACAGGGTAAACTGTCCATTTGAAATGTTAAATTACAGCTTAAATGTAAGCACCTTAATGGCTTTACACTACATCATTCCATGTAGATTTCCTAAGTAAAACTTTACTTAGTAACTGGGGAAAGCAGTGGAAACTCCTCTCAGTCGAAAGCATACATGAAGATGTTTTGATAAGCCACGTGCTCTGTACTGCATGAGCAAAGCCTAGCTAGTAGAAGAAATGCCAGAGCCAAGTTAGGAAAGAGTCCTATCCAGGAAGAGCTTGGCAGCATCATGAAGCAGAAAAAAATGAACATATACAGCTTTGTCAGTTATCTTTATAATCTATGGCAATAAAATAGATTATGTTTATAAAAAAGGTACAGTGGTAGAAAAATCCCAAATCCCATCTACATATACATATGCACGTCTAAAACTGAAGGGGAAAAAGGAACATATATGTGGATCTTAAGTGGGAAGATTCTGTCTTAAGTCTGACTTTTGAAAATTTTCAACTCCATAAATTATTCAACAAAATTTCTCAATACAAGGAGCAAAATGTGCAAATGCAAGCCAAAATATTTTAAATCAATTTTTACTTTTAATGGCTTGAATTTAAATGTATACATTTTTATATTTTATAAAAATTTTTTACTTTTAAGTATGGGACCTGTGCGTATGTGTTCCACTGAATTATTAATCGAACTAACACATCCAGTTAATGAAAGAAAATGAGCAATATGTTTTCAGAGTAAGTGCATGCTCAAAAAAATGTATTTGAGGACTAAATCAGAAAAAAAGCATGTTACAGCATATGATTTTGTTCTGAAAAGCTATTTACTACACAGTACTACTGATTTATATTTTACAGGAACATACCTCTCTCACTTTAGGATGCACAGGAGAATTTCTAGGAAGATGAATTCCATGATGCATGAAATCCTGAATGCAATTATATTCAATGGTCTGAAGAGAAAAAAAAATCCATGAATAAGATTCAGTTAGCATACAAAAATGGTTATTAGGTACATAAGTTAAAATAATACTTAAGACTGTCTCCTGTTTTCATATTTAAGATTATGTTTTCAGTTGTTATATGAGCACCAGATTTTACCATGGCAGATGTTTCTTGGCTTGCAATCTTCCAGCATCTGCCTTGGTCTGAATCAAGGCCAAGGTTGATGGGAAAAGCATTGCATAACAGTATGCACAGCTTTAAGTACCAGCTTTTCACATTTCAGGTCTTAAGGTAGCCTTAAATCTGGTCAAAAGTTCTTAAAATCAGCTGCCAGATATGAGCTGTCAAATACTGCCTGGTTGTCTCTCATTAATTGATAGTAACTATTTACAGTGGACAATAAGCTGAATATGAGCCAGCAGTGTGCTCTTGTTACCAAGAAAGCTAATAGCACACTGGGCTACATTGGTAGGTGTTCCCAGCAGTGATTACTCCCTTCTATTCAGCACTGGTGAGGCCATATCTGGAGTACTGGGTTCAGTTTTGGGTCCCCCACTACAGAAAGGATGTGGACAAATTCGAAAGAGTCCAGCGGAGGGCAACAAAAATGGTGATGGGGTTGGGGGACATGACTTATGAGGAGAGGCTGAAGGAACTGGTCTTATTTAGTTTGGAGAAGAGGAGACAGAGGGGATTTAATAGCAGCCTTCAACTATCTGAAGGGAGGTTTAAAAAAAGATGAAGTTAGACTGTTTTCAGTGGCGGCAGATGACAGAACAAGGAACAACAGTCTCAAGTTGGAGAAGGGAAGGGAAGTTAGATATTAGGAAAAACTTTCTCATGAGGAGGGTACGGAAGCACTGGAACAGGTTACCCAGAGACGTGGTGGAATCTCCATCCTTAGAGGTTTTTAAGACCCAGCTAGACAAAGGCTTGGCTGGGATGGACTCACCGGGGAAGATCCCGCATTGAGCAGGGGTGGGACTAGATGACCTCCAGAGGTCCCTTCCAACCCTAACTTTCAATGACTCTATGACTAAAGGGACCCTTTTCTTGCAGGAGTGATCATTTATATGGAAAACTTGAAAGAATCTCAAAAATACCTAATCCAAATTCAAAGCAGAGAACATACCTCTAAAATCTCTCCTGAAGCCTTCTTCCAAGCCCTGAAATAAATTTCTGCAACATGCATCACCAGCGATCTGTGTTAATAAAGAGAAAACCCAAACTTCTTTACTATCCCTGCATGAAACATAAAAAAGGCAACAACAAAATGTGTCCATATTAAATGATAAAGAGCACTGAAATGTGTTATACATTCCCTCACTTGGTGTTGTTTTCAAAATGCTAAAATATTGGTCCAGGATATTTGCTTATCTGACTGAAGAACATGAAGATAATTCCGTTATACTTAAACAATATAAGAACATATAGAAAACTTGTTTCTTTTAGAGACCTGGACAGATACTAAGATGCCGCACTGAATTCAAGTATGTTAAAATTATTTATAAGAAAATATCATTGATCTAAATTGGAAGCATTAAGCAGATTTTTAAGTTAATAAATTATAATTAGCCTATCGAAAAGAGGCTAGATATCATCTTATTGAAGAATACCGTTGCTACATACTATTTTTTGTGGAAATTCCTTTGGAGTAACCTTACAACACAGTTTCTCTTAAATAGGAAAGGTAAATCTAAAGTTTAATCTTAAATAGAGTAGAATTATGCTAATCAGGCATAAAAGCTTTTTAAGTCTCCATCTGCAAGGCGTACTAATTTTTATATTGTACAACATTAATAGTATAGTAATCCAGTTGCAATTAGACCCCTTTTGGGTGTGGCAAATATTTAAAAGTACAATCAAACTAAGTTATGGATACATAGTAAAATCATACACTGTGAAGGAATGGAAAGCAAAATATTAAGCCAGACAAGGTACAGATTAATCTATGTAGAATTAGGGATGTAAATATAGTTAAAAAAATATTTGATTAACCTCCTCTGATTATATCACTTAAACAATTAATCAGCAACACAGCTGCTGCTGGGAGCTGTTCCTGACCCCCAGAGCCCTCTGACTGGGGGGAAGGGGAAAGCCAGGGAGGCAAGTTCAGCCAGACAACACTTGAAGCCCTGTCCTGGGAGGGAGAGAGCACCTGTGAACAAGCAGCTAATTGCTTAACTGACAAGTCATTAGGCTGCTCTGTTTTCCTCCTAAATTATGGGTACTAGTCCCCCTCACCCCTTAAATTAATAGTTTAACCTTTCACATTCCTATGTAGAATATATATGTATATTTTTATAATGTCTATAAAAGTACGACTATATATGGCATGTGATTCAGATTTTTTTATTTGGCTAAAGCTAGCAGCTGTATTGTGAGGTATGGTGACATTCTGGTTATTCTGATTCCATTCAATTTAAGGAGAAATATATTAAGTCAAAGAAATCACGCCTGCTATTCTCACTGCTGATTTATACAAGTCAGTTCACAGTCGGCTTTTAATACTAATTCAAGTACTATTATACGTTTGTAAATGGAAAGTCCTTAGGTTTTTAAAATCCCAGGGGGGAAAACAAACAAACAAATGAAATACTAAACACTTAAGATCAACAGGAATCCACTACACCTGGGGTGAGCAAAACATGGGCACAGGCTGGATCCAGCTTGACAAGGGATTTTTATCTGACCTGCAGTGGATCTCTGAGCCTCACCAGTCCTAGGTGCGGGGGGCAGCCCGGGGCCATGGTGCATGCAGCCAGTCCCACCACTCCCTGGTGCACAATGGGGCTGAGACAGCATGGAAGTTGCACTCAGCTTCCCAAGAGCAGCAGTTCCTTCCAGCTACCGCTGCCACTGGACCTACTGCCTGGGCACCCACCCCATCCACCCCACACCCACTGCTGGGGGCACCACACAGAACAGATGAGCAGGGTCTACACAGAGATCAGCTCAGGACCCTAAAGGTAGGGCATGCTCAGCTGGGATGATGGGGCCACAGGCAGGCAAGGAGCAGCACCTGCGAATGGGACAGGCAGGGAAAGGGCCAGATGTGGGGCGGTGACAGCACAGGGCTGTGCTGGGAGTGGGTTGCCAGCTCTCCCCTGGGCCTCAGCCCCATGCTGTCACCATCCCATGATTCTGACCCCAGCCCTGCCTGCCCATCTCACTCCCAGATGCTGCTCCCTGTCCACCCACGGCACCATCCCATCCATCCGGCTAAGTGCGCCCAGGATGAGCTACAGCCAGTCATTCCCACCAAACACAAGGCCTTGGTGAAATGGAACAGTAAGTGGGAAGTTACCTGCTTCAGCCATTTGCTTCTTGGATTGTTCTGCAGCTTATAATCATATAGAAGAATTGGTTTTGTTTCTCTAACAACTGAGTCTTCACCTGAAAAGTTACCCTGCCAAAGGGTTGCACGCTTGACCTTCTGGCATTTCTTTAATTTTCAAGATTACATATTTCTAATGAGATCATGAAGAGTAGCGTTCACTATAAAATCCCAGAAACATCAATTCTCTTTTAGCTTATCTAACTGCTCACCCTTGTACACCTGTTTACACATTTATCAAGAAACAGTAAAATTAAATCAGGTATAAACATATTATGCCAAAAATAAAAGATGAGTGAGAACAGCAGGTTGTTGAATTTTAAAATTTAAAAACTGCCGTAAAGTCAAATTAGATGATTTACTGCAATTTGTTATTTTTCCACTTGTCTGGAATTCTTCCAGACATATAACAGACAGTTTATAGAATCCAACACTGTTGCACTACTTCAAGGGACACCTCAGATCTGCTCCAAAATCTAGGTTTTACAACAAAATGTAAGATGATCAACATTATTTTAACAAACTATTCTATCAGTGTCTGCAGCTGCAATATTATAGTTTCATAGTTTCTAGGGTCGGAAGGGACCT